CCACTGTCCACCCTATCTAATCCTCTGATCATCTTGTATGTCTCTATCAAGTCACCTCTTAACCTTCTTCTCTCTAACGAAAACAGCCTCAAGACCCTCAGCCTTTCCTCATAAGACCTTCCCTCCATACCAGGCAACATCCTGGTAAATCTCCTCTGCACCCTTTCCAATGCTTCCACATCCTTCCTATAATGCGGTGACCAGAACTGTATGCAATACTCCATGTGCGGCCGCACCAGAGTTTTGTACAGCTGCAACATGACCTCATGGCTCCGAAACTCAATCCCTCTACCAATAAAACCTAACATACTGTACGCCTTCTTAACAACGCTATCAACCTGGGTGGCAACTTTCAGTGATCTATGCACATGGACACCAAGATCTTTCTGCTCATCCACACTACCAAGAATCTTACCATTAGCCCAGTACTCTGTATTCCTGTTACTCCTTCCAAAGTGAATCACCTCACACTTTTCCGCATTAAACTCCATTTGCCACCTCTCAGCCCAGCTCTGCAGCTTATCTATGTCCCTCTGTAACCGGCAACATCCTTCCGCACTATCCACAACTCCACCAACTTTGGTGTCATCCGCAAATTTACTAACCCATCCTTCTACGCCCTCATCCAGGTCATTTATAAAAATGACAAACAGCAGTGGCCCCAAAATAGATCCTTGAGGTACACCAGTAGTAACTGAACTCCAGGATGAACATTTCCCATCAACCACCACCCTCTGTCTTCTTACAGCTAGCCAATTTCTGATCCAAACTGCTAAATCACCCTCAATCCCATGCCTCCATATTTTCTGCAATAGCCTACCATGGGGAACCTTATCAAACGCTTTACTGAAATCCATATACACCACATCAACCGCTTTACCCTCATCCACCTGTTTGGTCACCTTCTCAAAGAACTCAATAAGGTTTGTGAGGCACGACCTACCCTTCACAAAACCGTGTTGACTATCCCTAATCAAATTATTCCTTTCCAGATGATTATAAATCCTATCTCTTATAATCCTTTCCAACACTTTACCCACAACCGAAGTAAGGCTCACTGGTCTATAATTACCAGGGTTGTGTCTACTCCCCTTCTTGAACAAGGGGAACAAGGGGACAAAATGTCCTTGTCCCCTGAAGTGTTCCCCCACCGATCATTGTGTGGAGTCCATTCACCCTTTGTCGTAGCATCTGCATGGTCTCGCCAATGTACCATGCCTTGGGGCATCCAGGCTTGCAATGTATGAGACCACGTTGACCAAGTCACGTGGGTGAGTGGTGTTCCCGCGTGTGATGGTAGTGCCCATGTTGAAGATCTGACATGTCTTGCAGAGGTTACCATGACAGGGTTGTGTGGTGTTGCGGTCTATGTTGTCCTAAAGGCTGGGTAGTTAGTTTGGTGGTTGTTTGAAGGCGAGAAGTGGAGCCGTAGGGTAGATCTTGGCAATGTGCTCATCGTTGTCAATAATGTGTTGAAGGCTGCAAAGAACATGGCGTAGTTTCTCCGCTCCAGGGAAGTACTGGACGACAAAGGGTATTCTACCTGTCGTATCTCGTGTCTGTCTTCTGAGGAGGTCATTATGGTTTTTCGCTGTGGGCACAATAGAATTGGCGATTGGTGAGTTGAACATCGTATCCTGTTCTTATGAGGGCGTCTCTCAACACTTTCAGGGGTCGGTCATATTCCCCCTCATCTGAGTAGATCCTGTGCATGCACAGGGCTTGTCCATAGGGGATGGCTGTTTAATATGTTTCGGGTGGAAGCTGGAGAAGTGTAGCATCGTGAGGTTATCCATAGGCTTGCAATAGAGTGAATTACTGAGGTGTCTGTCCCTGATTGAGATGCGTGTGTCCAAGAATTAGATTGATTCTAAAGGGTAGTCCATGGTAAGTCTGATGGTGGGATGGAACTTGTTGATATCAGCCTCTCTGCTCCTATGATGCTGCTTGGCCTGCTGTGTTCATCCAGCCCTGCACCTTGTTGTCTCGATATCACTATGAAGTTGTTTCAGTGATTCCTCGCCATGATTCCAAAGGAAGAAAATGTCATCATTGTATCTGATGTATAGTGTTGGTTGGAGATTCTGCATAGCGATCACCACACAATGATCACTGGACAGGGGTGTTGCCTCCCAGTGGGGCAACACTTCAGGGAACAAGGACATTCAGCCTCTGATCTTTGGGTAAGCATCCTCTAAGGTGTACTTCGGGATGCACAACAACGCAAAATCACTGAGCAGAGGCTGATCGATAAGTTCCTTACCCATGAGGATGGCCTCAATCATGATCTTGGGTTCATGTCGCACTACAGGTGACCCCACTGCACTGTATACTCCCATACACACTCACACACACATTCATACTCTCTCTCATACACATACACTCACATTCATACACACACACACACTCTCTCTCTCTCTCTCACACACACACACACACGCTCTCTCACACATACACACACACACTCATGCAGACACACACTCATGCACACACACACACAGTCACACACACACACCCACACTCACACAAACACACATGCACGCTTATACAGACCTCTCTCCTACACACTCTCAGACTCACACATACACTCCCTCACACTCACAATCCACACACACACACACACACACATACACACACACACACATAGAGACACAGATACAGTCATGAATTATTTCATCTCGGATGTTTGTGTAGTTGCAGATACATTCTGTTTTGCTCAAAAAAACTTGACCCCAGTTTAAAATATAGACAGATTCTAAGCAAAACCTCACACCTAAAATGCATTGTCCGACCTGAAATGTCACCTCTTGTATACATTGATAAAACCTTTAATTATCTCAGGACAATGACTTGAAAAGGATCTGGATTTTGCATTTTAATCAGTAGTCTCCTTCATAACTGATTAAAGATTCAACAAGGAGTGGCCAGTTTTGGGGTAGTTACCTTTCTGCTTATAGATTCTGTGTCTTATACCCTTTCTCTCACACAATGCCTGAGGAAGGAGCTGAGTTTAGAAAGCTTGCGTTTTCAAATAAACCTGTTGGACAATAATCCGGTTTCGTGTGATCTTTGACCTTATATAATTATTGGTAGGGCTTTGGGTAATGTTGTAGATCAGAGGGACCTAATTCTTTGAAACTCAGGTACATAATTCTTTGAAATTTGCATCACATATAGACAGGGTGGTTAAAAAGATCGTTAGTACACATGCGCTTCATTGCTCAGATATTTGAGCTTAGGAGTTGGGACATCATGTTGAGGTTGTACAGGACATTGGTGAGGCCTCTTCTGGAGCACTGCGTCCAGTTCTGGTCTCCCTGATATAGGAAGGATATTATTGAGCTAGAGAGGGTTCAGAAGAGATTTAGCAGGATATTGCCTGGAATGAAAGTTCTGAGTTACAAAGTAAGGCTGGATAAGCTGAGACTATTTTCACTGGAGCATAGGAGGTTGAGAGAGGACCTGTATTGAGGTTTATAAAAGCATGAGGGGCACAGATAGGGTTAATGATTGGTGTCTTTTCCCCATGTTGGGCTGTTACAAGACTAGAGGGCATATTTTTAAGATGAGAGGTGAGAGATTTAGAAAAGACACGAGGAGCAAATTTTTTACACAGAGGGCAGCTTGCATGTGGAATGAACTTCCTGAGGAAGTGGTGGATGCGGGTGAAGTCACAACATTTAGAAGACATTTGGATAAATACATGAATAGAGAATGTTGTCATCTCCATCCCCAAACCCTCATACCCATGGATACACCCACCCACTCCCCCACAGGGTTTTGGGCCCTCAGCAAATTGCAAGCACTAAAACAGGGCCACGATGGGAAGGTATTTGGGAATTGCAAAGTGCTCGGCTGTTACAGGGAATAGTCAAGAGTCAAGCTTGCTGCGGGTAGAAAACCAAGAGTAGTGAAGGTTCGGCTTGTCAGACAGAAGGTATGACTGTCACCTGCATCACTGTAGGTCTGGAGTTACGTGTAGATCTGACCGGGTAAGGATGGCTGATCTCTTTCCCATTAGCGAACCAGATGGGTTTTCCTGACAATAGTTTCATGGCCACCATCGCTGGGACTAGCTGCCAATTATAGATTCTTTTTAAAAATTTAATTTAAATTTCAGCATCTGCACGGTGGCTCAGTGGTTAGCACTGCTGCCTCACGGCGTCAGGGACCCGGGTTTGAACTCACCCTCGGGCGACTGTCTGTGTGGAGGTTGCACATTGTCCCTGTGTCTGTGTGGGTTTCCTCCGGGTGCTCCGGTTTCCCCCCACAGTCCAAAGGTGTGCAGGTTAGGGTGGGTTGGCC